GGACCTGAGCAATCATCAGGGAAATTCCAGACAAAGATCATGAAGAGACCACTCTAGCTCCATCAGTCTGGACTGTTTTCTCCTGGGGTTGCTGATCAGCCCCAAAGAGGTGGGAGCAGCACCCACGTGCCTGAGCTCCCCAGACACGGCGCAGCAGCGCCCCCTCAGGCAGCGGGAGCAGCTGTCAGGGAGAAGCTGTCTCCATTTGTGGGCCCCAGACTTGGCCCATTGCCAGCATTTCCCCTCCCTCAGCCCAGGCTCTTTCTGGTTCACCCAGAACAGTGTTATTTCTGACCGTGGCCCTCCCAGGTCCTGCTCTTTCCATTCTCCAAAGGTGAATGTGAGAACATCACTCACCCTCTCTAGTTCTCTTCCCTTTTGGAATAAGTGCACCCCTTCCTTCTGTGTCAGCTAAAGGGGGAAAGTCACCCATGGGGCCCTAGAGATGTGACCCAGGACCAGAGGTTGGGGAAATGCAGGTTTTGCTTCTTGAGACCTGCAAACTCTTTCCAGAGTTCGGTTAATTTCACACCATCCCTCAGGCGTGAAGGCCCCACTTACCTCACCCCACTAGCATTTGGGGTTCCTACTTTCTACTTTGCCTATCTGAGGTCACGTGGCGACACCCTCTCCTCAGTTTACATTGGCATTTCCAGAAGACACATGACAAGCTCCTGCTCCTGTGCCTACCATCCTACATGCTCCTCACACAAGTATCTGTCCTGCTCAGTCTTCTTTCCTCAGTGGTTGTATCTTCACTGTGTGATCACATTTCTTAGTATCCTCTCTGCACTCACTGTTCATTGGATATGTCTTTCCTAATCAGTTCTTGCTTGTTCCTTGTTTCTTTTATCCTGTGGAGGAGGTTTTATAAATCAAAAGATGGGAGTTTTGATGAGGTCAGTGTATTCATCTTCCTTTCATGCATCATGCTACTGGTGTCATCAAGACCGTTACTTACACACTTATTCCAGCCAAGTCTCCTGTACATTCTTTAAACATAAGCAAGAGCTATTGCCTAAAGTTACATGACCCAGTTCCCTGTGTGGGGATGAAATTGGACCTCTCACCCTCTGTCCCCACAGCTCGCTCTTGTAGTCTGCAAACTCCATCGTGTGTGTTCTCTGCACTAGAGAGAGTGATGAAGGTTGTCCCAAACCAGAGGCGCAGTCCAGGGTACAGATGGAAGTGTGTGTATGTGTGCATGTGTGTGTGTGTGTGTGTGAGCATGTGCTGTGTGCACAGGAAACACTGTCTCAAAAGCCACAGATAGGCCTTAGAATCTCTAGTACAGACCAGGCACTAGGGTCCACTTCATAGTCTTCTCTTTGCTGAGCTCTCTCTGTTCTCCAGAGGCCCTAGCAGGGCACAAGGAGGTTGGGAGTAGATTTGCATGCCACCCGAGGATAAAAGAGGCCCTGAGCACCCATCCCAGCTTCAGGCTTAGAGGCTGATCCTGTGACATCTGCACCATGGCATGGAGCCCTCTTCTGCTCCCCCTCCTCATTATCTGCACAGGTGCTGCCTTAGGGATCAGCCCACACAGAAACCAGGAAGCACCCTGGGCTTGGCTTTCAGCTCAGCACAGGGGATGCAGCAGGGGTTGTGCCCTCAACATGGGTGTCAGCACCCAGCCCTTGTATTCTGCATCAGCAAAAGGAATGACCAGTGTTCTTGTGAATTACTTCTATTGTGGTGCAGAATCCCTTTCAGAGAGAAGGTCAATCTGTAAATCTCATGAAAAATTATTTTGTAATTTTTTAAAGTTTATTTATTTATGCATACAAGAATTGGGGTACAGGCCAGAGAGGTGGAGGGTGAGAGGATTCACTAGAGACAGAATAGGGAACAGAACATGCGGACTGACTGAAATACATGCTGAGGGGAGCAGCGGGCAAGATCGAAGAGGTCTGCCATGCCATGTGTATTGCTCCCGGGCCGGCTGGGGAGCAAATTCGTGCTGCAGAGCTTGTGAATCTCTTCATATGCAGTGCTTAAATATGTGCCACCAGGGAGGCCTGATTTTGGAATTGATCTAGATGGTGGATGATCATCAGGAAATGTTTCTGAAGTCTGATGACTTGCCCTTCTCCATGGAATATCTTAGTTGAATTCTCAAGCTCACGTCACTTCAGGAAAGTCCGATGTCCCAGGATGATGCTAACATCTGGTGTCACGCTGCACTGAGACCCAGAAGGGACAGATGATGCCTGGCCCTGGAGAGCGAGCAGCACCTGGGAGACACTAGGGGCTCGGGGAGGGGAGGAGGCATCAGGGGAGAGGCTGAGTGGGGTGCACGGCTGGGAGCAGGATGGATGGGCCTGAGGCTGTGGCCCTGTCCAGTCTCAGTCACCTCTTTACACACAACTGGGAGGGGCAGCTCATCAGGGAAGTCTATGCCCAGGGGCACAGGAGCCTCTCAGGGGGTCCAGGCACAATGTCTCAGCATGTGCTAGTGAGTCACATTGTACATTTTCATCAGCAGGAGCCTGAGGACAAATACATTTCTTCAGGACATTAGGGGAAAGTGCTCACATCACAGACTATACCTTAGAACAAATGCTCCTGTGCCTACCTGACAGTTCTCCAAAAGCCAAGGCATTGACCTCCTTGGGAAGGATCCTCATGCTAAAATATCAGGAAAGGAGCCTGACACATGGAGCCCAGCCAGGTCTCAGGTCCCTTGTCCTGTCCCACAGAATCGGTGTTTTCTGCCACAGGGGGAGCAGATGAGGGTCCCCACCTCTGTGCACAGACAGACTCACATTTGATAGGGAATCAGATTCCATCATAGTGAGCATCTGAGTGTTCACTGCATAGATGCAGGGAGGACAGACGCGTGAATACAGAAGCTGGGTCCTGACAGGAGGGTCCAGGAGGTCTGGGATGAGGGAAGGAGGAAAACATAATGCCCAGTGAGGGGAGGGCAGGAAGGTGAATTATGGGCTCTGAGGTGGGAATTCTAGCCTACCCATTACTTCTTGTTTATTTAGAGAAAATTACTTACCCTCTCCCTGTTTCCTCATTTAGTCGACAGGAGCAGAGGCTGCAGTGTGTTCTTGTGAGTGTCTGGTGAGGGGCCCATGTCACACTCACCCAGGGCCTGGTCTCCACCAGGGTCAGAAGCAGTCATGCTGGTGACTGTCAGCACATGCAGGATGACATTCATCCTGGGCACCAGGGGGCGCTGTGGTCCTGGTTTGGAGACCTAATTAGTCCAGACACTGGGCTGTGCTCAACTGCACTGCACATGAGGGATGTTCCCTTTGAAGACACTTCTGCTGTAAAACCAACTGCCCAACGAAACCCACACCTGTTCCTTCTTCCTTCAGGAAATCACCAGCATGAAGCCCTTAGGCTCAGGGCTCACATAAGACTAAGACACACACCCTGGGGATGGAGAGAGATTTGCATTGGCTGCCCCACCTCCTGGAGCTGCAGGCAGAAAGAATAAGACAGGAGCCTGGGGAGGCCAGTGCAGCTAGGCAGCCTCAGGGCAGAGCTCCTGGAAGCCTCCACCAAGGCCTGGGTGTCCTTCTACCTCCTGCCTCTCAAGGTCTCCACAGGTCAGAGCAGCCCAGACACTCAGGGTTTCCCCTTCACAGTATGTCCTACCCTGCACAGTCCTTAGGGCTGTCTCCCCATTGTCATTCACCCTTCATTGCATTTTCTGTAGCAGGTCTCTGTGCTGTGCCTGTGCTGCCCCAGCCCCCTGTGTATCTGCCTCCCTGGGAACATCAGCCAAGCGCATCTAAACCCTGGACAGAGAGTTCAGTACCTCCTCCATTGCGTGGTATCAACAGCTGCCCGGGAGGGTCCCAGGGAATGTGATGTATCTTAGGAATGATGGAGGCCACAGCCAAGGAGAGGGGATTCCTGATCGCTTCTCAGTCTCCTGCTCAGGGGCTGACCACTACTTGACCATCTCCAATGTCCAGTCTGAGGATGAAGCTGAATATCACTGTAGTGCTGACTTTAATACAGGGCAATATGGTGAAGCCACAGTGACACAAAAGGAAAGTGAGGTCAAAACCTCCCTCCACCAGGGCTCTACCCCACATGGACAGGGTGAGCTACTCCCCATTTCAATGCGAAACCCTAAGAATTTTACTCTTCTCCTTCAACCCTGTGTTTCTCTTCAACCCTTCTCCCCAGACAGCAGGACAGAGAGGACACGGGTCATCTTTGAGGTCACTTTGACAACAGAGCATCTGTGTCCTCCCTCCGGCCTGTGGGGTGATTGATACTAAACGCCGCCTACAGTCCCTCAGCCAATAAATGGAAACAGAATTTGAGGAAAGGGAAAGTGGTTTAATTGATCACCAAATGAGAAGGCAGCAGACTCATGTCTGAGAGACAACCGTGCTGCTCTTTGGCAACAGGGATATTCATACGAAGGGAAAAAGAGTGAGATATGGGCAAGGGTTTGCAAAGGGTAGGAGGAATCTTCAAAAAAGAATGAAAAGAATCTGGACTTCAACTACATAGATAAGATGCTATTGTTGAAATCTATTAAAAAGGCATGTTACTGGGCCTCCCCGGTGGCGCAGCGGTTGAGCGCTGGGTTGCGAAGCTGCCCGCGGCCTCTGCGGCGCCGGTTCGATCCCCGGCTGCTCCCCGGCCACCGGAGCAGGGTCCCGCATGGCGCGCAGACCTCTCCTGCTGCCCGCTGCTCCCCTCAGCAGTGTACTTCGGTCCTTCTGCCTGCTCTGCTCCCCGCTCTGGCTCTGGTGAATTCTCTCACCCTCCCGCACTTCTGACTGTACCCAGTGCTTGTATAAAAACAAACAAACAAACAAATAATAAATAAAACATACCTCTATAAAAAAAAAAGGCATGTTACTGTCTAAAGCAATAGGCACTGACCATGTATGTTAGAATTTGTAATGCACATAATAGTAAATTGCTGGATAATTGTAGCAAAATGAGTGAAAGTAAATAATGGTTACATGGACCGTACGCAATATGTAACATGATGTAATATCATATAAATCAAAAAGTAAATTACAATTATAAGATGATTACAGTAACAAGCAAAAACAGGACACAGATAAATTGGAATCATAATACAATTCAATTACATGGAAGCATATAAAGGAAAAAGCAAAAAAAGATGAGAAAATTTTTGAAATAATATGACATGTTTAAAAAAAACATGGTGTATTGAAAATCTGTTAACACCGACTTTCATTGTAAATAATCAAATATCACAATTAAGAGCAGAGGCTATCAATTGAATTGAAAAGCTATACCGAAGTATGGGCTGCGAGAATATATCAACAGTAAATACAAAGACAAAAATAAGCGGCAGTTCAGGCGAGGCTGAGGGAGAAACACTTCAACATGAACTCTGGGAAATTTATGGTGATAAAAACCCTGGTAAATAATCACGAGGGGTGAGTGCAACTGAGTTTCGGGTCAGGAAGCACCAGTGGCCCTGGTAATGATCAGCCTCTCCATGCCGAGGGGGGAGGCTTCTTCCTGAATCTGAGCTGACATGAAGGCAGGGGTGCCTACAGCATCACTCAGGTTCCAGACAGCAAATTTGCAAATGAACAAATCACCCCAGCTAGGGCACTTGACAAGTGGGATGTGCTTCAAAAAACTGACATGGCCTGCCCCCCTGTGCCCCGTATTCTATCTTGCCCGGAGGCCAGGGGATCACAGCTGGCACAGGGGAGGGCTGGACTCTGTTCAACACTCTCTCCTTGGACAGGGGCTCTGGGGTGACTGGCAAGGAGCTTCCTGGCATGAGCTCTCCTCCACCAGCAGGGGGCAGCAGAGCTTCAGGCAGGAGCTCCAGAACAAAGCTGGGCTGCCCAGGATCCTCAGTGGGACCAACCTGCCCTGGGGTCTGGGAAACAGAACAGCTTCAGAGGAACTCAGCACAGCCAGATCTTCCCCCAGGTTGCAGTGACCATATTTTGAGGGTCAGAATCATAGTGTGCTGCAGGACACTGATGGGACCAGGATCCAGGGGGCATCACCTGGGAAATGAGCCATAGAGCCTGTGCCCAGGGAGCTGACCCTCTCTGCTGGCACATCAGGGACACCCTCACCACTGTTCCTGCCTCTCCGTCCTCCAGGCTGACTGTGAGCTCAGGCTGCACCTACTTTGCTCAGGAGGGGCAGGCACACTTCTCGGGACACCCAGGGCCCTGGAAGGCGATCGGTGCCCACATAAGAGACCTTCTGCAGCGTGAAGTAATTCTCCCTTCTCTGGTCACAGTCTGGTCACGGGCTGTCCCTGGTCATTGAATTAAGAATCCACATGCCCTGGAGAACCCCTGTCCATTCAGTTCCCAGAGCTCTCCCTCTGTGCAAAGACCATGACCCTGGGAATCTTCAGATCACGTGGAGCCAAAACAGGGTTTCTTAGCCAGGTCTGGATTTCTAAAGCCTCACATCTTATACAAAAGAGTAGTGAAATCCTAGAGTGTCAAGGTCAATGGTGTCGGGGCTGTCACAACAAGGACCCAACACCACTTGGAAAATGAGACCAAGCTGTGATCACTCTTCCAAAGGGGACGGTTGTTTAACAAGGAAACTTCCATGTACTCAGTAATGGACAAACAGCCAACGACAGAAGCCACACACACATATTCTTAACCACAGGCCCTGATGGGAGCATGTGCGCCTGGGGTACACAGGAGGATGGCAGGAAGAGAAAGAATGAGGGTGCTGGGGACCCCAACCCCAGGAACGCTGGATTCTGATTTCTGTCATGGTCCAGCTCGGCCCCAGCCCAGTCTCCTGGAAGACCCTGCAGTCTCAGCCAGCCAGGACAGACCCCAGGTGGGGCCTGAAGGCTATGTGGGGTCCCACCCCAGGAGGTGACTGTGGTTACAGACCTTGGAGGCCAGGCTGCCTTTCTGACATGACCAGCATGTGGTAGATGCTGATGCTCAACCCAGGAGCCTCAGTCACCTGATCTACCCCACAGCTGTTCCCCATCTTAGTGAGGAGCCCCAGGGGAGGGGTAAATTTCTACAACAACCACACCCTCCCACCCTCCAGGGTCCCAGAAGGGAATAAGAGTGGGTTCCTAGATCCACCCTTAGGGCCTGGATACCAACAGTTCCCTTAGCCCAAGGGGCCCACGTGCTGACCTTTAAGAATATGCCTCCCCCTCCCGCCAGCGCCCTCCAGTCCTAACCCAGGCATTACTTTCTGACTGGTTCTTTCATCTCACAGTGTCTTTTCAGAGGGGATAGGTTAGGAAAAAAGAGTCCCACTGAGTTAGGAAATGAAGGTCAGGACACAGCTCAGGGACATGGGGAGACAGAGTCCAGGGAAGGGGGTGCAGCACCCACCTCTAGAGAGCAGGACAGATCCAGGCCAGGGAACAGCAGCTGAGAAACACAAAAAATTCAAAACAAAGCCCCATCAAAGGAAGAACAAATCCAGCAACTACCATCCCAGCAGTAAGGCAGCCTTGGGGATCCTGCCAATGACAACTCATATTCGAGTCCCCTCCCAGGAACAGGAGCTTTGCTTTGCTGCTTCTGCTTCAAAGTTGTCCTGCTTTGCTCCTAATGAACTTTGTGCACACTCCCCGGCCTTTTGTCCGTTCAAAGCGACCACCAGCTCCCTGTTCCTTCTGGAACTGGGGAAGCCAGACTGCCCGTGTGACTATTGAGTGCAGCCTTGGCACTGGCATTGTCACTCAGCACTAGCTCCCTGGGGCCTCTTAGTTATTGTTGCCTTAAGAGGTCATTCCTTTTTGATCATGCTCAGTGCGATAAGTCAGAAAGAGGAGAAAGATGTCGGATGGTTTCTCTTACAGGAGGGCATAGGAAAACCAAACCAGGGATCAGGGGGGAAAAAGACAAAACTAGCAGCAAAATACAAATGACAGACACTCAGCTGGGGAGGGTGCGGGAGAGGGATCAAAACAGGGGTGGGAAGAGCACAGGAGACGATGGTGACCGTCATGGGTGACTTGGTGGTGGGAATGTTCTGGGGATTACACCTGAGGGGAGAATGAACAATGATGTTAAAAAAGTTTAGATTAAAAATTGAAGAAAAGAAGAGATCTTCCTTTTCTTTGCTGAGTAGGATTCCATGGTTCATGAACCAACATCTGGTAATCGACACCAGGCCTGGCATCTTTTCTCTCTGGACAGCACCTGGAGAAGCTCTTGTGCGCAAAGGTGTCATGATTATCAGTGATTAGACCTTCTGCAAATGTGACTTCTCAGGATCTGAACTAAGTACCTGAGAGAACCACCAAGCTCCTGTGTGGGAAATGCAGGTGTCTCCAGTTTTGTGGTTAATTTCACCCCATCAGTCAGGTGTAAGGGCCCAGTTCTCCTCACCCTGCCAGTATTTGGGGTCCTCTTTTCTACATCAGCCAATCTGAGGGCACATGGGGACACCTTCTCCTCAGGTTACAATGGTGTTTTCCAGATGACGGATGACAAGCTCTTGCTCCCGCTCCCGCCATCCTGCATCCTCCGCACACAAGTGTTGGTTCCACTCAGTCTCCTTTCCTCAGTGGTTGTATCTTCACTGTTCAGTGATCACATTTCTTAGTGTCCTCTCTGCACTAGCTGTTCATCAGATATGTCTTTGCTAGTCTGTTCTGTTGCCTGTTACTTGTTTCTTTTATCCTGTGGAGGAGGTTTTATAAATCAAAAGATAGGGGTTTTGATGAGGTCAGTGTATTCATCTTCCTTTCATACATCACGTGTCTGGTGTCATCAAAGGACTGCAACTTACTCTTTCATTCCAGTGATGCTTCCTGTATGTTCTTAAACATAAACAAGAGCTATTGCCTGAGGTTACATGACCTAGTTCCCTGTGTGCTGATGGAATTGGGCTTCTCACATAGTGTGACTCCTGTCCCCACAGCTCCCTCCTCAAGTCGGTGAAGTCCACCCCACGTGTGTTCTCCTTACTAGAGAGAGTGATGTGGGTTGTCCCAAAGCAGAGGGTGGTACAGGGTACAGATGGATGTGTGTATGTGTGTGTGTGTGAAAGAGAGAGAGAGAGTGAGAAAGAGAGAGAGAGCGTGCTGTGTCCAGGTCTTAGAATCTCTAGTACACACCAGGCACTAGGTTGCACTTCACAGTCTTCTATGAGCTAAGCTCTGTCTGTTCTTCAGAGCCCCAGGCCAGGCCACAGGGAGGTAGGAAGTAGATTTGCATGCCACCCGAGGATAAGAGAGGCCCTGAGCACCCATCCCAGCTGCAGGCTTAGAAGCTGAACTTGAGACATCTGCACCATGGCCTGGAGCCCTCTCCTGCTCCCTCTCCTCGTTATCTGCACAGGTGCTGGCCCTAGGGATCAGCCCACACAGACACCAGGGAGCAGCCTGGCCTGACCTTCAGCTCAGCACAGGGCATGCAGCAGGGACTGTGCCCTCTGGGAATGACCCTCATCCTCACACTCACCTCTCTTCTCCTCTCCTCTTGCAGGTTCAGTGGTCACTGCTGAGCTGAGTCAACCACAGGCAGTCTCTGTGGCCTTGGGCCAGACGGTCACGATCACCTGCCAAGGAATAAACCATTTTGCTAGCTGGCACCAGCAGAAGCCCGGCCAGGCCCCTGTGATGCTCGTTGATATTTTTGGTGACAGGCCTTCAGGGATCCCTGCCCGATTCTCAGGCTCCACCTCGGGAAGCACAGCCACCCTGACCATCAGCGGGGCCCAGGCTGAGGATGAGGCTGACTATTACTGCCTCTCACCAGGCAGCAGTAATAATCATCCACAGTGACACGGGGCCATGGGGAAGTGAGGCATAAACCCCGTCCCCATCTGGGTCACTCTCTCCTCCAGCCCAGGAGGATGGAGACACAGGCAAGAGCGTCCTGACCCAAGTCCCAGCTCTTTTGCCCCTCCACCACTTCTCAGACATTCTTTGCAGATGTGAGTCCTGAATGGATTTAGGACTGCAGGAATGGGCTCTGTTGTGTGCCCTTGACCACAGTAGTTGAGGAGATTGAGGACCAAGGTGGAAAGACTGAGAGGGCAGAGCTCGAGAAACTGCAGAGACAGCTCTGGAGTTGAGCAAAGATTCTAAGCGCAGTGACAAGCACAGGTGTAAGGGAGAAAATGGATGGTCAGGAGGAATAACCACCCTGATTCATCACAGGGAGCTTCTTGCATGAATTACACACACACACACACACACACACAGCCACAGGCACACACAGTCATATATGCTTTTTCCCTGGTCAGAAGAGACAGATCCTATTAAGGCATTGGTTGCCTGGCAGGAGCACTTTGCTCAGTATTGGGAAAATTTGCCCAAACTTTAGACTGATCCGGTGACTCTTAAAAAGAATAAAAAAGCTAGCTGAGAGTGAGGATTGAATGTGTTCAATAAATTTACAGAAATAAAATATAAAAAAAAAATTATACCATAGAGATAAATACAGGTTTAGGGTATATAACAAGGGACATTACACAAAATTGCCCGTGAAGAATTAGGAATATATTTGCCCTAATAATACAAAACTCAATGAGCCCATCCTGAAGGTGAAATTTTCTGGAGGTCATGTATCTAGACATGGAGACTATTATCATGAAAATGTTTCACTGTTCTGAGAGTAGCAGATGAGTGAACATGCAAATAAGACACAGGGCACATTAAAATATGAGCACAATTGACATTCTAGAAATATGTGATACTCTGTGAGATTTCCATATACGACTGAGGACATTGTCAGAATATTACTTGATAAAAATGTAAAGATGACTGACCTTTATGATGGAATAATCAGAAACATTCTTTGATACTGAGAGAGAAAGAGTGAGAAATGACAGGTATTTGAGCTGCAGGACAGTATCAAGGGTCCAAATGTGTAACTGATGACACTCGGGAGAAAGCTGGGAGGGAATGGAGGTTAAAACAAGTATTTGGAAAAGAGAAACTACCAAAGATATTCCAAATTTGTTAAAACACTATTAATATACAGATTTTGGTGTTTATCAAACCAAGAGCTAAAAGGGAAAAGAGGAACACAGCTCTACCCACGCCAGAAGGAACAGTTTAGGGAGAGACTCCCCAGTGGAGACCAAGAAAGACTCACCTGCACGGGGACAAACACGAGGAACAGAATCATCATGACAGCGATGCAGCACGAGACAGAGCAGAAAATAGCGAAGCTTCTAAATGAGACAAACCCTGATCACCTGTCCCTGCAGCTGCTCTCACAGGAGCCAGGGGAGTGGTGAGTCCCATGAAGCAAGGCTCATGTGGGGAAGGACAGCTCCACTCCCCAGGCAAATCAGGATAGTTTGGCCAGGCCCCAGAGAGCCAATGAGAAGTTCTCAGCTATGAATGAAGATTCCAGGTGTAAATGAATTTGCAGCAGGGGAGGCTGGGGAGAGAGCCATCCCAGAGCAACTCTGCCTTTCACTCTCCCAGCCCAAGCATTTCTTAAAGATATGAACATGGGAACAAGAAAACAGCATGCAATTCTGTTTATGCTTATACAAATCAGTAAGTTACTTCTGTTTCTGTAGTTAGTAGGGATCATGCACATAAGCCAGTTGGTCCTAGAGAATAGGAGTCAATTCTGTTTGCAGAACTTCTAGCCTCCTGGATCTCAGTCTGCAGAGTAAACAGGTACTCTCAGAAAACTCCAGCTCCCTAAGGGCAGCAGGCCCCCAAAACGGTCTCCCAGCAGTGAGGGAATTATTGTAACATGTGACCATACTAATACCGTTCTTAAAGACAAGACATTCAGTACGACAAATTTCAACAGGGTGTCAGCACCCAACACATGTATTCTGCATCAGTGAAAGGAATGACAAGTGTTCTTGAGAATTACTTCTATTGTGGTGCAGAATCCCTTTCAGAGAGAAAGTCAATCCTGTAAATCTCTTGGAAAATTATTTAGGAATTGATCTGGATTTGGCTGATCATCAGGAAATGTTACTGAAGTCGGACGACTTGTCCTTCTCCACAGAGAGATCTTTCCTGAATTCCCAAGCTCAGGTCACTTTATGAAAGTCCATTCTTCCAGGATGGTGCTAACAACCTGCTACACGCTGCATGGAGACCCAGAAGCAATGGTTTAGGACTGGCCCTGAGGAGCAAGCAGCCCTGGAGACTCTGAGGGGCACGTGGAAGGGAGGTGGTGTCAGGGTAGGGGCTGTGTGGGGTGCTCTCGGCTGGGAGCAGGATGGACAGGCCTGAGGCTATGGCACTGTCCAGTCTCAGTCTCCTCTTCACACACAACTGAGAGGGGCAGCGTGTCAAGAGTGTCTATGCCCAGGGGCTGTTCAGGACATTACAGGAAAGTGCACACCTCACAGGCTATACCTTAGAAAGAAATGCTCCTGTGCCTACATGACAGTTCTACAAAAGCCAAGACTTTGTTGGAGAATGAATCTTCATCCTAAAATGTCAAGAAAGGAGCCTGACACGCAGAGCCTGACCAAGCATCCCTGGTCCCTGCACGTCCCACAACACAGCATCTGTTTTTTCTGCCACAGAGGGAGCAAACGAAGGTCTCCACCTTTGTGCACAGACAGACTCACATTTGACAGGGAATCAGATTCCAACACCATGAACATCTGAGTGTTCATTGTATAGACGCGGGGAGGACAGACTCCTGAATACAGAAGCTGGGTCCTGACAAGAGGGGCCAGGAGGCCTGGGATGAGGGAAGGAGGAAAACATGATGCCCAGTGAGGGGAGGACAGGAGGGTGAGCAATGGGCTCTGAGGTGGGAATTCTAAACTATCTGTTATTTCTTGGTTATTTTGAGAAAATCACTTACCCTCTCCCTGTTTCCCCATTAAGTAGACAGGAGCAGAGGCTGCAGCTGGTTATTCCAAGTGTCTGCTGAGGGGACCCACCCAGCAACAGATTCTTCTGACTCCAGAGTCCTGGTCGTCATCCAACCTGGGGCCTCCCATTTGCCCTCAATGCTAAGACGGCCCTGCTCCTGAGGTGACAGTTCTCCTCCTGTTCTAAAAGCTACGACTGATCTCCGACTTGCAGTCAGCGCTGTCCAATCAAAATAGAGTTAGAACTACACAAGTATTTAAATTATCCCAGCAGCTTCGTTTTAAAGATCAGAAGAAACAGGTGGAATTGGTGTCCATAACATACTGTTGTTTACCTCAGTTATCGAAAAATATTTCTATTTCACGATCTATTCAATATGCTCTATTGACATGATTTTCATGAATGTTATGCAATCTCTCAAATCGGGTGATTTTTAGAACCTCAGAGTGTCTCTGTGTGGACCAGCACACCTCATGCTCCAGGTGGCTGGTGCCCAGCACACGCAGGTGGATGCCTGAGGTTCTGGAAGTGACTGTCCCTCAAGTTTCACTTATAACCAGGGACAATGGAGGTGCCCTGACCCAGAGGCCTCGCTGGGGAGGAATGACAGCTCCACTTTCTACCTGAACCAGGTTATTGAAATCCCTGAGGAATGAGGGAACGAGGGAATTGTAATGACCTGTGTCCACACTACTTCTGTTCTCACAGGCAAGTATTAAACACAACTCCAATCTCCGATGAGCCATCTGAGCCATCCCACATCTTTTTACCGTTAGTCATTGCAAAATATGATAATGACCCTGTGAATTGTTTAATCAGTATTGGAATAAATATCCCTTCCAGCAGGAAGATCATTCCATAAACCTCATGTAGATCTACAAGAAGAGGCTGATCATAAGGCATATTCTACTGAGCTTAGACAACTGATATTCTCCACAAAGGATATATTTGCCTAATTCACTAATTCACTAATAGGGATCTTTTATTAAAAGTCCTTTCTCCCACATTGGTTCTAAGTCACCTCATGTTGCAAAGAGACCAGAATCAAAGGTGTGAGAACTGGCTGCAGGTGGGTCCACAGACCTCCATGGGGACCAGAAGGAGGAGGAGGAGGATGTGATGTGGGAGGACGAGGGCCATAGGATGGGAAGGTGCAGGGGCCTGGATGACACATCCGTGTGGGAACAGAAGTGGCCTGTCTGAGGCACCAGGCCCTGTCTTAGCATTACGATCCCTCTAGTCCCATCTATGAGGAGCCAGACAGGAGGTCTGTCTGCTGTGCAGGGGCAACACCCCAAGCTTCACCCTGGTTTTCCACGAACAGCATCTCAACACTGTGTAAGTGACTGAGCTTCACCCCATCCTCAGCAGAACTGTGTGTGCAAACAAATGCACTTGTTCATTAAGTGGCAACTCCTTCTCTAGGTTGAAAATAATAGTGTAGCCCCCACAGAAAAAAAAAGGTTTCGTCTGTGCCCACCTATGATCTCTTGCAGGAAGGGGTATGCAGTCACCTGCAACAGCTGAAACCCAAGATATCTGACTCCAGAGGGCTCCCCTAGAGACAGTGACTGCAGTGATTAAAGGCCAGCTGGGGTCACTATAAAGCTCAACGCTCAGCCCAGGGCTGAGACAGAGCCTCATGCTGAGACATGTGTCCTGGGCACCTGCATGGATGGCAAAGGGCAAGGCTGAGTCCCCACCCCAACATGAGGACCATGGAAAGAGCCCTTACCCCAAAGCCTTGTTTCCTCACCTCTCGGCATGACTGGGGAAAGGTGTTTTGGACCAGGGGCTCCCCCACTTCCTTGTCAAACCTGACAATAAAGGAAAACTCCCCCTCGAGGGACCCACAGGAGACGTCATCTGGGACAGTCACCGAAGCCCTTGGTCAGAACACCCCTTTCCTGAGTGGGGAGGGGACAGTGCCTGTCACTGTGGTGACAAAGCCAGCTGGTGCTGACAGAGGCCCCTGCAGGACTGAGCGAATGTTCACTTCTCATCCTGCTGATCCTGCACCCAGTCAACACATCTCTCACCTCGGTGTCCCTTCCCCACATCCATGGAAGTGGGCCTAGTCAGTCCCTAGAAAAGCCCTGCGGGCAGCTGCCGAGCCACCTGGGACACCTGCTGAGATCAGCCACAGCTGGAGAAGCCCCGCCATGGCCGTATCTGTCCTGACACGGACCTCCGCACATGGGCCCGATTCCCTACCGGGCCCAATCCTGCAAGAGCAGGGTGCTCAGTGATCTAGGTCCTGTGTCTCCTGTGTCCCCAAATGCTTCCTTCTAAACCTCAATCCTGCTGGGAGTCCCATTCACCCCACAGGGACCTGGAGAAAAGACATTAGACCAATTCTAGAGTCATCACCAGAAAGTTGAGATCCTAGACAATTCCCTGAACAGAGCCCCACACTGGAGCCCAGACTCCTGTGGGAGCAGAAGGAGAAAGAGGATCCCTCAGTTTCGGGTGGAGTCTACAAGGAAAACACCCTCCCTGGTCTCAGGGGGCTAAACAGTCTGTGAAACCACAAAGCTCCCCAAGCAGCAGCCTGGGCCTGACTGACTCGCATAGCCAGCAGCTCTCTCCAGCAAGGGGATAGACAGGCCTGGGGGAGCCTGCCCAGCCTCAGCCTCTGGGAGCAGCATCAGGGACCCCACCATGGCCTGGACCCCTCTCCTCCTGGGCCTCCTGGCTCACTGCACAGGCATCTTATCAAAGGTCACTGCATGCCAGCCCCAGGGCTCTGGGACCAGCCTGGTACTGACTCTGAGCTCAGTGGGGGCTGCCTGAGGGGCAGGATGCTCATGACCCTGGGCAGGAAAAGGTGTTAGGGGGCAGAGACCCTACTGTGCTCACTAATCTGTGTGAGACTGAAGGGCTGTGCCTGCCACGAGAAAATAGGGGGTCTCATTTGTTCAAATGGTCTACCCCCTGCCAGGCCTATGGGCCAGCAAAGCTGAGAATGAAGGGAGTGTGTTTCCTGGATCCTAAGAGACCTTGTGTGAAGATGGTCATGCAGGGGAAAGGGGCTTTTCTGGGAATTTCCTGGATCTCAGTCTCTGGAAGCTGGACAGTGAGAGAAGAAGGGCTGTGCATCTATTGTTGATGTTCTACAGACACGGCATTTGGAAGAAACTGACTCAGTCCTGTGAGGTCTGGCCACCTCCCTGAGGAAACAGGGATGCATTAAAAGACAGAGGGAGGAAACATTTGTTCCATGTGTTAAAAGGGAAAAAAAAATCAATCATTTAGGAAGTGCCCCAAATTTTTGAGGAAAATCACATTTGGATGGTGAGCACCGCACTTAACAGTCAGGAAAGTTCCAGAGGGACCTGATGCTGCTGCCTCCCTGACTCGGGCTGCTCTCTGTCCTCTGGACACCTGCACCACCTCTCCGTGAGCAAGTGCTCCTGGGAAACGGCACCTGCCACAGTTTTTGTTTTCCTTATTGACCACCGTTTCTAGACACAAACACCCTCCCTGTTATTAAACAGTCTGTGAGTTTGGACACAGCGCGCTGAGGGGTCGCGCGGCCA